ATTTGACTTCGTCATAAGTGAAATTGATTAATTGGATCAAATCCTCTTGTATTGGGTTAGTATAAATATGTGTATCTAAACCATTTTAGCTCTAATTTTCAGTTTTGTTTTTTTGTTCTCTCTCTCTCTCCTCTCTCATGAGCCAATGGCTCTTTTTGTCACTAGCAACGTCTTCTCTAGAAACTTCAATCATAATGGATTCAACATGGTATTAGAGCAGCCTAGAAGACCTCATTCTACTTCTTGCCCTCTAATGATTTATTATGTGGCTCACTCATTCAACAAAAAGAGGAAATCAATAGTTTCCCCTTGTTTTTTGAGATCTTGCTTGCCTACATTTTTTTTAGTGTTTGATGATATTTTTCATTGTTATAGAAGGCCTCTCTCAACTTCCTGACCTCTTCTTCCTTATCTAGAGGTGAGAGAATGGATAGATATCCATCTAGAGATAGAGGACCCTATTATCACACGACCCCTATTTTTCTTTATTTGACCCCATTCCTTTTTTAGGAGAATAAGAGCACAACACTAGTTGACTAGGGATAGGGTGTTTCTCTTATGTTTGAGGTGATAGATTGACTTCCTCAATACCCCAGATTGTTGATATACCCAAACATGCATTAGAGCTAAAATATTTCAAGCAAGTTCAAATTGATTGGTAGGAACTCACTCCAATGGAGTGAGTATATTGAGATGATTCTCACAAGAAAAGAAAAACTAGACCACATCCTAGATCCAACATTTGAATCAAGTGATCCAAGATTCAGGCCATGGAAGAAAGAGTATGTTGTAATTAAGTCATGCATCTAGAGCACCATGACCCAAGAAATCAACACAAATTATTTATTTCCTCCAACTACAAGAAATATTTTGGAAAAATTCAACAAATACTTTTTCAAAAGAACTTGATGGAGCTGAGGTTTTTCAACTTACATCGATGGCTATGAGACTAAAATAGGAAGCAAAATCAATTAGAGAATATACGAATGAGTTAGAGTCTCTATGGTTGGAAATTGACCAACATAGGACGATTATCACAAGAGATCCACAAGATGTAAATTTTTTCAAGAAATATATTAAGATTAATTGGAATTACAAATTATTCAATGATCTTGATATTGAGTATGATCAAATTTGAGCACAAATTTTAGGGAGAGAAAAGATTCCAAACCTAGAGGAAGTCATTGCATTAGTGAGAAATGAGGAAAGTAGGAGGATCCTTATGGTAGGACCACAATCCATTGATAACTTCACATTTGTGGTTAAGCATGAGCAAAGAGGAGGTCCAACACACCAACCAAGCTTGGGAACAAAGAAGGGTGACTATAAGGACAACTTATGATGCACCTACTACAAGTGAGCATGACATACTAGTGAAAAATGCTACAAGCTTTATGGTTGACCTCAGTCAAGAGGTTTTCATCTTACCATCATGCTGACTCTAGATGAAGTGTCAACCTTGGAGACAACCCTATTAGAGTGTTAGCAAAACTAAAGGCTGAGGCCAACAAGTTGACATCAATTATGACATCCAGCTCCGCAAGCTCCTTTAGTGAGTTTCTACAAGCTTTTCTATTACATGCAACATGCAATTCATTTTCTACACCATAGATCTTAGATACTAGAGCCACTGATCATATAACTAATACCTCAAATTATTTTCTAACTTATAAATTTTGTCTAGGTAGTAGAAAAGTGGCAACAACTAGTGGATCATTGATTTTTCTAGCTGACATAGATAATGTGAAAATTGATTTTAAGCATCAGTAAAAACGTAGTACATGTTCCTAAACTTTCTACCAATCAAATATCTATTAAAATATTAATAGATAATATAAATTTTTGGGTGATTATTGATAGTGATATATGTGATCTACAACAAGGTGATGAACAAGAAGATTGGATGTGCTGAAGAATGAGATGGCCTGTATCACCTTGGGACATTAGGTCATACTTACATGGCAGTTTGCAATCTCCATTAGACACAAAGATGATTAACCTAGTGCACATAAAAAACTTTTAGTATATCATCATTGTCTTGTTTATCCTTCTTTCAATACAAAAACTTTTGTTTCAAAAAGTTTTTTTTGAAGTTTAGTGTTGATGGATTTGTGTAAATTTGTAAAGCATAAAAGAACATCTCTTCTTATGAATGTTTCATGTAGTTCCACTCCATTATCACTTGTTCATAGTGATGTGTGGGGACCCTCTTTTACTCTTAGTGTCTTGAGAGCAAGATAATTTGTGACATTTATAGATGATTATTCATGAAATAAACAGATTTCTTTACTAAATCATAAATCAAAAGTGAGTAAAGTCTTCTATATTTTTTTTACACTAATTAATATTCAATTTGAGACAACAATCAAAACATTTTGATCAGATAATACTATGGATTATTTTAATCAAATTATAAATAAATAATTTTAAAAGAAAGCAATCATTCATGAATCCTCTTGTATTGACACCCCATAATAAAATGGGGTGGCCAAGAGAATAACAAATAGTTATTAGAAGTAGTTAGAGTACTTCTATTTCAAAATAGGTTACTAAAAACTTTTTGGGGAGAAGTGGTCTTAACAGCTGCCAACCTCATAAACCAGTTACCAACAAGGGTCTTAGAATTTTAAGAGTCCATTAAACGTTCTTTCATCCTATAACCTGCACATTAAACTAATGACAAATTTTATTCATAGGATTTTCAGATGTGTGACATAAGTCTAGAATTAGGATCAAGCTAAAGGGAAGCTTGACCTTCAAAGATTGAAATATGTTTCTATTGGATATTCAAACACTAAGAAAAAGATATAAATGTTATCATCTTTCATGAAATAAATACTTTTATTTCAATTGATATGACTTTTAGGGAGCATGAATCATTCTTTAGTACAAAAAATATTTCTCTTGAGGGAGAAATTAGACATAAGGAAGATGGGGGGGACAAGAAGGTGGAAACTTCATGGTATCGATATCATCTCCTAATGAAACTTCACCTCTTCCATTATTGGAGAAGACTATACCTACACTACATAAAAATGAGAATATCCAAGAGAAAATTAGTGAATCTTTGTTATTGGAGGAAAACTAAAAAGACATACTTATAGTTCTTAGAAAAGGGAAGAAAAAATGTTTTAGAAAGCCTAAGTATTTTATTTCTCAATTCATATCATTGAGGTATCTATCTCCCTCTTATAGAATATTTCTCACTGCTCTTAACTTTGGATATTGCATCAAATGTCATTGATGTATTATCTCATGAAGAATAGAAAAAGTTTATAGATGAGGATATGGATGCATTGAGAAGAATCAAATGTGAGAACTAGTCAAGTTATTCCTAGGAAAAAAACTCATTGTGTGTAAGTGGGTTTATACCATCAAATATAAGGCTGATGAAATCATATAAAGATATAAGATTAGATTAGTTGCCTAGGGATACACCCAAACTTATTGGATAGATTATTTAGAGTCATCTGTCATAATTTCAAAGATAGATATAATTATAATCTTGGTCTCCTTAATGGCTAATTATGATTGGGACATACAACAGTTTGATGTGAAAAATAAATTTTTACATGAGGATTTTGATGAAGAGATCTATATGGATGTTCTCCAAGGATATAATATTAACTTTAACAAGGATATAACATCCCCAAAGGACGACGTCGCTGTAGAAAGCTTGAATGCACTCAACATGATTCATGAAATTCTCAAAGGTGATGAGAGATCATACACTATTTTTTAAATATTCATCTTTAGAGGGAATTGCAATCCTCTTAGTCTATTCAGATGATATAATGGTGATAAGAAATGATGAGAAAGAAAATGAAAACTTAAGTAAATATTTATTAAAGAAGTTTGATATTAAGATGTTAGGAAAACTAGAGTATTTTTTGGGCATTGAAGTTGCTCACTTGAAGCAAGGGAGATTCATATCTCAAATGAAATATATTGCTGACCTTCTTAAAGAAGTCAGGAAGTTAGAACCAATAAGTACTCTTATAGATCCTAGCCATAAGCTTGGCAAAGCAAAAGAGAGTAGGCCAATGTCTTGTAGGAAAACTGATCTACCTTTCTTGGACTAGACCAAAAATTTCATACTCAATTGGAGTTCTTAGCCATTTTATGTATAAACCTATAGAGTTCATCTACTAGTCGTAGATAGAGTAACCACATGAATTTGAAAATTTATATTATTGTTGGTTATATAAGTTCTATTGTTGATCAAAGATCAATCTCAAACTATTGGATGTTCATCGGACGCAATCTTATCATATGGAGGAGCAAGAAGCAACAAGTTGTGGTAAGTGCAAAATTTGAATTCAAAACTATGTCACAAGGCATATGTGTAGTTTTGTGGGTGAAGACATCTAAGAATATCTCAAAATTAATAAATAAGACTGAGTCAAACTCTATTGTGACAATAAATCAGCTATAAGTATTACATGCAATATGGTGATATATGATCGAACCAAGCATATCAAGATTGATTGACACTTTATCAAATAAACATTAGATAGTAACAACATCTGCACGCCATATGTCTCAATACATGAACAACTCACATATATTCTCACATATGATGTTCATGAGTTGTTCAACACATGAACAACTCACATATATTCTACAGATTCATATCCAAGTTAGGATTATATTATATCCGCACTAGCTTGAGGAACGTTGGAGAATAAAATATTAAATTATATTGTAACTGTAATTCTATTTGTACATATATATTTCTTTATTTTCGTAGTTAGACTCTACTATTCACTAGCATATCAGATCTAATTTCAACATAAGTGAAATTGATTAACCAGATTCGATCCTCTCATATTGGGTGAATATAAATATGTGTCTCCAAATGATTTTAACCTTAATTTTCAGTTTTGGTCTTTTGTTCCCTCTCTCTCTTCTCTCACGAGTCAATGGCTCTCTCATCGCCAGCAGCATCTTCTTTGGCAAACTTCGATCGGAGCGGATTCAACTAGAATTCTGGCACGTCCATGGCCACTCCCCACCTTAACGGCATCGCCGCGCTTCTGAAGACTTCCCACCGGGACTGGTCTCCCGCCGCTATCAAGTCGGCGATCGTAACTACGTCCACCACAGTCAACTCTCGCGGGGATCCCCTAACAGACGCCAACGGCGGCACCACGGCTGGCTACTTCGCCACCGGTGCGGGCCAAGTGGACCCACCCAGGACGGACGACCCGGGGTTGATCTACGACCTTAAGGCCAACGACTACATCACCTACATGTGCAGTATCCGCTACACGGACGTGCAGGTGACCGCCGTCTCTCGCCGGGCGGTCAAGCGCGCCGACTTCCCTCGAAGCCTCCCGGCGGGCCTCAACTACCCCACATTCTCGCTATCCCTCGGCGCCGGGGGACAGATCGCCGTTAGCAGAAGCGTCACCAACGTTGGCTGCGCGAGCTCCATCTACTTGGCGGAGGTCAACGCACCTCCTGGCGTCTCGGTGACAGTGTCGCCTCCCTGCTCACCTTCTCCTCGGTGAAGGAGACGAAGCAGTACGCCGTAACCTTCACTCGGCTCAACGGAACCACACCGGGCATCCGCGAGGGGGCTTTGACCTGGATCGCCCTAGGTGGGAAGACAACTGTCCGAAGCCCGATCGTGGTGACCCTTCTCTAAAAACTAAGCCGTGGTGTGATTTGCTGTAATGGCACGTAAGTCGACATGACGGATCTACTGTTGTTCCTGCTCGTCATCCTTTGGTTTCCAAGATGTCATTGAAGTAAAGAACCGTCTTCTTCGTCTTTAGCTTTCTCTATATGCTTTGATGCATTCAATATCATGTGAGGGCTTAAAAACATTTTGAGCTGTTTTTGTATTTCAACTTCTGATGCATGTAGTATAACTCGAATTGAGTACGGTTTTCTTCTTGATATAATATTTTCTGCCTTCACAATGGTTTCCAATATGTAGGTATTGCACATTCTACCTGCACCAAATAGTTTGAAGGAATATGACCGTATCTAAAAATGACTGGGAACTGAACCTAAAGCGAAATTATTTGGAGAACCACATTAAAATCCCCTTTCTCCAAGCTGAAACCAGAACGGTTGATATTTTAATGAATAACTAGTGTCGTTCAGATTATTTGCCATGTAAGTAGAATTGATGAGCTTGAACTGATATTGAACAATCCACTCGAATTTTAGATTTTTTATATGTTTTAATCGGATTTCAAATAACTATGAGTAAGGAACAATGGCACAAAATATGTGTGTACTTGAGAGCTTTAAGGAAGTATTCCTTCTCATTTTATTTACCATCTAAAAATGAGAATTATTCTTCTAATTTTAACTATTGCGAGGTAAGGTGGAGCGTCTCATAATAAAGTATTGTAGTTGATAGTTTTTTTCTTATAATTTCCATTAGCGATCGAGCCAGGATTAAATATATTTAATGTGATAATGGCGCAGTTGTAAACTTTCGGGAATTACCCTAGCACGTTCCGCTTTTTATATAGCGGAACGAGGCAGTCACATGGTAACCATGGTATGCGGGGAACGTGTGAGGAGATGTGCTGGCAAGTGTTATTGGAGAGCACTGACTTGGCATTTTAGAGTATGAGAAGGAACCTCAGCATCCTTCACTTTGACTAAATATCCGTGAAAAATAAATATTGCGAGCTATCAACTACGCATGAGGAATCGGAGATGACCAAGAGAAGCCAGGGGATACCTAAGTAAATTCCTCATTAACGCTTTGCCAATTAATGAGATGGGATGAAAGTCTAAGATGCTTCTAGTACTCGATAGCGACGGCGCAGAAATCCCCCAGCGGCACGGAAAAAATATATCATAATCATACCATAGGGGAAATGGCCGCGAGTAAACGCCCTCGATTCGTGGACACAAAATTTCCGACAGGTTCTACGTCAGTGAATGGCAAGAAGGTGAACGGTAACTCTTCATCGACAACCTAATAACAGCTTTATAAAAATTTTGCAAGTATTTCATCATTTAGCGTAAAGGTTTTATGATCCGATGTGACGGAGTCTTCCCGGCCCACCATTGTAACTCCTCACCTCTCATCGGTCAAGTAAGCACCGCTAGGATTTTGAGTGAAGCTGCCGGCCATCTCAGAACTCCCCTCTCCAGGGGCCACCTGGATAGATGGCAACTTCTGCTGTCGTCAGGCTTCTGAAGTCACTTCGTCCCCTCCATCCTGGGGAGCTACATCCAATCTTCGAGCGCCAAGCCTCTGGATCCGTAGTTTTCACTCAAAAAGCTGCCATCCATTCCTCACTTTCTGCTCTCCTACTTTCGTCCCTCATGCCTCCCATGAACCCTCGCTCCGGCAACGCCGCCACAGCCCAGAAAATATCCCGGGAGCGTCGCAGCCACTTCCGACGTCGTTGAATATCTATCTCTATGACCTCGGTGACGTCGCCTGAATTCTCCTGCAGTCGCGACGGCTTGGCAGCCAAGATGCGGCAATTGCGGCTGGACTCAGCTACATTCTCATAAATACCAGTCAGTTCAATTGTAAATGAGGAGTGAAGCCTTTCTTAATTAAATACATATCTTTCCCTGTCCTTCTTTCGACCTTTTCACAGGAAGGGCGTCTCCGACAGCCCGAACTTGGGGAACCGGTGAGAGCCAACCTTCATCCCCGAGCTGAAACCATGTGATGTTGAACCTTCGGATCATGACGATATTGTTCCCATGACTGAATCCAATTTCTTAACTACGTTCAAGGTCAATCACATTATCAAATAATCAGCAGCTTTTCCCAGGAAAATTCTGAGGTCTGACATGACGGTAAATATCATCTTCTAGCGCGGGATTTCAGATGCTCCAGTCTACCTTTTTGTTCTAATTTAAGATTAAATATCTCTCGATTCCTAGAAGACAATCCAATTTCTACCCATTAATATACTTCTCTTTCCATTCACTAACGACACGACGGGATGTCCCGCGCGATGAAACGATTTGTACGTTTGCGCCTATGATAACTCTCCTTATCGAATGTACAGTTTCGTTTCTCACATAATTAAAGATGATTCCGTTAAAAAAGTACGGGCTTGACCTTATCTTTTTCAGTTCCGACACGAGCACGCCTCGAGAGAACTATCGAGAGCTGACCTTGACCCTCGCGCGCCACTGAGGCCCGCAAGAACCGGTCTTCGAAGGATCACCCCAATGAGCGGCGGCGGATGGATGACGATGCTTGAACCGTCATGTTCGGCTTCTGACGGCATATTCTTCAGATCTTGTCACCCTTCGACGGACGACCTAGAAATGGATCGAGCCGATCACCAGATAAAAGTCTTCGTGTTCATCCCTTCGGAGATCCACCCTAGGAACTCGTTTATGTAAACAATGAGAACGCCACTGGTTTTCAGATTCTTCGTCTTAGATGGGCCTCATATTAGATTCGTTCCTGGACTTCGAAGAATGTCAATGCGTCACGAGGGCTACCCATGAATGTGCGAGGGTAGCTGGGGCAGGCATCGGCCTGTCAGCACGTGGTGCTGTCGACTGATGATCTAAGATTTGTGTCTGTGTCGTGCGTGCATGTGTGTGTGTGTGTGTGTCTATGCGTGAGAGAGAGAGAGAGAGATTTCAGCCTCCATCTTCTCAATAAATATTTATATAAGAAGAACACATACTTAACTCTTAACTAAGATTACTAAATCGGAGATTTGCGATCGAAGGTAACGATAGCTCTCTTGATTCCATAAGTTAGCGTCATTAAATGTAGAGACTCCAAAGCCCTAAACATTTCACTTTCTCCACAGAAGAAATAGAAAGATCCCTACGCATGCCGCCTTGTACGTCAATTCCATTAATGGACTGGGTTCGATATCCCTACTGCAGAAGGAGACGCAGAACGACGCAGCCTTTGAGAGATGCTCTCCAGACATAAACGTGTAGGATTGGAAGGAAGAGAGAGAGAGAGAGAAAGAGAGAGAGAGAGAGAGAGAGAGAGAGAGATCCTCTCCTCGACGTTCTCACAGTTGAACACTTCAGGCAGCGCCAAATATTATCCCGACCGCTCCCTCTAGTAAGGGTGCCTATGGAAGATCGACGTTCTCGCCGCTGGTTCTCCATATGCGGCATACTTGTTGAATATGGTGCCTGTTCATGGATTCGGCAGATTACTATCCAGACTAAGAGAAGAGGAATCCAGTCACCGAAGTCCGATTTCATCGTCCCCTGCCGTTGCGGACAACACACGACGGCGCTGCTGATCACTGATGCTCGGTCGACCACAGCTACAGAGATAGAAGAGGACTTTGAGTGAATATTTGTGAACACTCAAGTTATATATTATACCATTGTTTAGTAGTGACTTCACCAAAACAAATTGATAACATGTATCTACCTTATAGGATCGCGTTATATTCTTTCAATTTGGTGCACAGGATTAGGGTTCTTCCCACGGACAGTACATCCTGATCGCAGGTGTTGCTTGAGGTAATCCACGCGGATACCATGATTGCCACCCAAATGGGATGATGGGTGACCCAACTTACGCAATTAAAATCTTTTAAAAAATACATCATTAGCATGTATATTAAATAGATTAGTGTTATGTCCATGTATGAGTAAATAAATTAAATAGAAAAAAAGTAAAAAAAGCTTTTGTACGCCACATGTTTTAGGTACATACGTATATATATATATATACCTGATGCAAATAAAAACCCCCCACCAAAAATACTAGAGGAACAGTTAATACTGAGATGCCTCGTATCCCTGGACCATTCCGTTTTGGCCACTTTGGGCATCGTCCACCAGGCCCGTTTACAGTTTACCCCACTTCAGATGATTAGATTAGAACACAAAGTGAAGCCGAAAGAATTCACAAAATATGAGGCAATGTGTATGTAGATCACTGCGCTACTCTCTCATTCCGGCGCTGTTAACAAACTGACGAGCCGTGGCGGCCCGACCTTGCTAATCTCGGCCCAAAGATGGGATGTATTTCATGAAGCTCAAGTCTACATGAATCCCCGAAAATGGGTTCCAAACTGGGCCTCTATTAAGGCCCGCTATAACACTATATCAACAAAAACTGACGGATACAGAGAGAGCTTGGAACTGATCTGACCGCTTGATATGATCCTATCAAACCTCAGACCAGATCTGGATAAAAGGCAAACTCTATCCGGGACTGCCGAGTCCGCAGACATCCCCCGTCTTCATTGACCAAAAGACTTTCAAGTACCCTTGGGATGCCGGACACCTTAATTCAGACATGATGTATACTATATACATAGGGATTTATTTTATTTTCTCCCGCCCTGCGTGAATAATATGATTCGATTCACTTGAGCTTAGCCGAGACAGCATTTCGTCGAGCACCACCCATCTTCCCTCCCGTCTTCGTCCTGGCGGAGAGGACCCTCCGCCCGGCCAGTGGCGTGGCAGTCCAGGAACCCGAGTTCACCGCCATGTCTTTCAGATGCTGCAGGCCTTGGAGGGTCTCGACGACCGCCGCCATCCGCGGCCGGTCCTTAGCGTTTGAGCTGAGGCACTGCAGGGTCAACGCGGCGGCGTCTCGGGCACCCTTGAGGGAGTACTGCCCGCCGAGCCTCGCGTCCATGATGTACCGCACCTTACGGGCGCTTGTCAAGTAGGGCTTGGCCCAGTCAACGATGTTCTCCTCTTTCTTTGGCCTACTCCTGTCCATGGATCGTCTTCCCGTCAGCAGCTCCAGCAGCACTACGCCGAAGCTGTACACGTCACTCTTCGTCGTCAAATGCCCTGCACCAGATCGCCCCATCGCTCAGCGCCGGATCCGATCGAATACACGGAGACATAGATTCTTTGGTCCAACTTCTTTGGCTAATGCCAGATTAGAGGGCTTGTTCGATTGTATTGCACCGTTTTACGGGGAATAACCTGTCATGACGTACTCCGGCGCTGCGTAGCCATGCGTCCCCATAACCCTGGTCGTTACATGGGTGTCCTCCCCCTCGGGTCCCAGCTTTGCCAGACCGAAATCGGACAGCTTTGCCGTGAAATCCTGTTAAGCAGACATCAGCGAGAGGGGTAGCGAGGGAGACAGAGAGACAGAGTGCAGATAGAGGTCCTGGAGGCACCGACGGAGTCTAGAAGGATGTTGGAAGTCTTAAAGTCTCTGTAGATGACGGGCTTGTCGGCGCTGTGCAGAAAGGCAAGTCCCTTGGCGGCGCCGATGGCGATCTTGAGCCGGGTTCCCCACGACAGGGAAACAGGGCTCCCTATGACGTCAAACAATTCAAAACTTGAAGTTTTAAGTGAGAAGGTTATCTAAGTATTATTTCGACATAAAGAAGTAGATACGATCTCCCCCTCTTTCTCTCTTTGTGCATACTTCTGAAGAGATGATTCTCTAGGCTTCCCCGTGGCATGAACTCGTACACCAGCAGCCGGTCCTCGTCTTCGCAGCAGTAACCGATCAGCTTCACCAGGTTAGGGTGCCTCAGCTGCCCTAAGAAGATTACCTCCGCCTGCAAAAAATAGGTGATAATCATGTCTACCGGTAGCACCACAGGACAATGAAGATGAAGCGTCTCTGAGTGGCGCTGACCAGCCATTCGCGGTGGCCTTGGAGGCCCTCGGTGTTGAGGACCTTGACGGCCACCGGCTGTGCCTTGAGGCCTTGCCGGAGTTTGTCGTCAACATAGCCCTTGTGCACCGGCCCGAAGCCGCCCTCCCCCAGCAGGAAGCTGCTGGAAAAGTTGTGTGTGATGGCCCTCAGCTCGCCCAGCTGGAAGGCATGGAGATCCGCCCCAAAGCCGAGCCCCACGGTGAACCGAGCCGAGGATGGGGAGCCGCCGCTCAGATCGGAGTACGACAGCCGGCGAAAGGGTGGAAGGTTCACCACCTTCTTGGAGAACTCTGTCCGCGTTGGCCGGCAGCGGCTCAGGTTACCGAGGACGGCCCCTTCCTCAACGACGCAGCAGTTTGCCGTGAATGGCCGCCACGGCCGCGTCGACGTGGGCATGGCTGGTTGCCGCAGAGCCAATTGAAGAATCAAGGATATTATCTGACTTCAATGTGTGCAGACAGGGAATGAATATATCTGGCCTTACCTACCCGTCCTTCTGAGTTCCAACAACTCCACTGCTGTACTTACTCTCTCACACACACACACAGAGACACGCACGGATTCATGAACCCCACCGCTCATATTACCCATCCCTCCTGTTTTAAATGGGTCTCCCAACTGCTCTCTAACTCCAACTACTCTACCAACGCCGCATCTCTCTCCACCGATTCATCTTTCACCATCTCTGTGACAGTGGAGACGATCTCCTCCACCGTCATCAGTCGGCGCAGCTATCCTGTCGACGACAGAGCACAATCAGGCGTCAAGCGCCACCGATAAGACCGACGTCTCCACAGCATGGACTCCAACATCATAATCGGGATGTAGACACCGCGTTGAAATACTACACGACACGCCCTCCGCTAGTTCCGTCCGCAACTTGGGCACAGGTAATCCCTCCGTAGGGTCTGCAGCGGGGCCACCTCATCCATGACCTGTATTTTCTAGAAAATATAGTTCAGCGATTCACAAAACACGACTAGAGTTTAAACCTCGGCGATGCAAGATATGATCGAATATACAAATAATACATAAATATTCTGTGATTGTTTGCCATAAAATAAAACCTATGACTAAACGGTGTGATCACGTGAGTGGATGTCACGATAACTCTATAAATCAAGGTAGAAATGCCATGGCGGTCTAATTACATGGTCTAACTGTAGCATGTGAAAAAGAGGAATACTCTTTAAAATAATGGAAGTTTCAAGACATTTTAACCAGTGGATTGAATGCTCAGGGAGCTAAGATAATGAATTTCTACTTATAAATGGTGAATTGTAAAATTTTCTGAATGTTTCTAAGTTTTATGATGAGAAGATGATAAAAAACTATAATGTCATCTTACTAATTTAACTACAAAAATGCTTACAACTTAGCAAGGTTTACACGAAGCTAAGTTCAGACAGAGTTAAACCTTATGACTTATCTCTTGGGTAACCTTAGTCCCATATTTTCTCTTGAATTGGATTGAAAATTATGATACATTACAAGCCAGAAAGAGTGATCGACAAGAACCTAACTGTGATAGGTCCAATGGTGGTGAACTACAAATTATTGGTATTATTATTAATGTTATTATTGTTATTGCATCTGATAATTTCCATTAAATGAAACGATTTTACAAAAAATGATCGAAAAAATATAAAGATGATACGAGTCACTCGTCACGTTTACGTTTAGATTGGGCTTTTGAATGCCAGCGCGAAACGGAAGACTCTCTCTCGGCGTGATTAAAAAGAAAATTCAAGCCAATAATGTCATTTTATTGGAGGAACCGGTTGACCTGGATTCACCTGAGGCACACGTTAAGCCCGTTTGAACAAGTCTGCGCTCTGGTTTGTGGGCCATCGCTGGATAAAAATAGCGCATTTCCTAAATTTGTCAGCAAGAAAAATGAGCCCACGTCTTTCCCGGGCTACAGTTATCCTTCTCACTGGTCTAGAGGGAGAGAGAGATGATGTTCTCAAATATATAAGCTAATTTAGTAGATATATATATACATACATGTGCAACCATTATCTGCATAGTTAGGCAGAAGACATCTATCATGGCTTCCTCCGTGATCCTTTTCCTCGTCGTGGCCTGGTGGTCATTCCTGGATAGCTTCCCGTGCACAGCCGAGGGGGTTGGCTTCAGCATCAGCCTCTTCCATCGTGACTCGTCTCTCTCCCCGTTCTACAACGCGTCCGAGGGGCCTTCCGCCCGGACCCGGAAGGCTGTCCGCCGGTCCAATGCCCGCGCCGACTACCTCCGCTCTACGGCCGCGGCGGTCACTCTGGCCTCCGACGACGACGTCTCCATCTCCTCCAAGCTGATCCCCGTCGAGCAGGAATACTTCATGGCCTTCTCCCTGGGGACCCCGCCGGTGCAGATCCTCGCCTTCCCGGACACCGGAAGCGACCTTGTCTGGACCCAGTGCAAGCCTTGCAAGAAGTGCTACCACCAGGACTCCCCACTTTTCGACCCCAAGAAGTCCTCCTCCTACCGCCCCCTCACCTGCAGCTCCGATGCCTGCATAGAGATCGAGGGCACCTGCGCCCCCAAGAAGGGCTGTCGATACAGGTACCTGTGCGTTAGAATCGAACCAGATAAAGTCGTTTTCTCAACCGCTGCCGGTGAGGCCAAGTTGAACGGTCGCATGCATGGTTCTTCAACAGCTACGACTATGAGGACGATTCCTACACTAAAGGGGTCCTCGCATCGGAGACCTTCACCTTCGACTCGGGGGACGGCGAGAACAAGAAGGTCTCCTTCCCCAACATCGCGTTCGGCTGCGCCCACCAGAGCGGGGGCCTCTTCAACAGGCGAGGCGCCGGGCTCGTCGGGCTCAGCAGGGGCACCAACTCCCTGGTGCAGCAACTCGGCCCCGCCATTGACGGCCGATTCTCCTACTGCTTGGTGCCCCCCTCGCAGAAAGACTCGTCCAGCCACCTCAACTTCGGCGACACGGCCGTCGTCTCCGGCCCCGGCGTCGTCGACTTGCCGATGCTCTCCGACCACGGGCCCTACGACTACTACCTCTCTCTGGAGGAGATCATCGTTGGAGACGCTAAGGTCCCAGTGAGGAGGACGCCTTCCCCAGAGGACCCCAACGTCGTCATCCTCGTCGACTCGGGGACAACTCTGACGTACCTCCGGCCGTCAGTGGTCGATCAGATCAAAACATTAATCGCCGGGAGAGTCCATCTAACGCGCATGAAAGATCCGGACCGGGAGTTCGAGCTGTGCTACCTGTTCCGCGGTTCCGCCGATGAAGCGGTCATCCCTGATATCGTCTTCGGGTTCAAGGGGGGAAGCTGGACGTTGAAGGCGAGCAACACCTTCGTGCCCATTGAGAATGGGGCTAAGTGCCTCGGTATACTCTCCTCGCAGGAGGTGGACGGCGACGCCATCTTCGGCAGCTGGGCCCAGCAGAACTTCCACGTCGGGTACGACCTCAAGAGGAGCACCATCTCCTTCGCTCCGGCAGACTGCTCCAAGCTGTGAGAAGCACCTGGCAGACCTGACCGAGATCGAATTCCGACCCCCGTTTTCTCCTTTCTCAGCGCGAGGTGATAGATTAAGTCGCCGCCCGTCCGCCAGAGAATTCTCCCTTTTTTTATTCTACAGCTGGTTCCCGGAGGCGTGAGAAGGTGGCGGTGGACGTCGCCTCGGCCTCCAGAAGATTTTTCTTTTCTTCATGAGGAAAGCCCTCCGTTGCGTGGGCTTCAATCTCTCTCTCTCTCTCTCTCTGTCTCTCTGAGTGACAATGTCGTGAACCGGAGAGAAACTGTGGAGAAGGTTTCCTACAAAGCGAAGAAGGAACACACCCACCGACCAACCGACCGAATCGCACGGCACAACATGAGCTGCAGCGTAGGGATGGGGAGAGAAGGAGAAGAGGGCGGTGGCTCCGCCGGGCCGGAGCTCCTATGCGATCGATGATGGTCAGTCGGAGTTGGAGTCGTAGAAGTCGCTAGGGCATGGTGTTATCACCTCCGACTCCAACCGCTGCACCACCCTGTGCATGGTGGGCCGCTCCTCCGGATTGGAGGAGACGCACTGCGCGGCCACCCCGATCAGGGCGTCCAGGCTCTCCACTTGGGTTCCCTCGCACTGGGGGTCGATTATCTCCCTCTGCCGGTTCTCCATCACCAAGAAGTTCAGCTGCCCAGTTGAAAGTCTCTTCGTCGTTAGTGAGAGCGAGAGAGAGAGAGAGAGGGGTTGGGGTGGTGGGGGTACCCAGCCGACGATGTTCAAGCCCTTCTCCAAGAAAGACGAGTCGGTGGGTCGCTTGCCGCTCAAGATCTCGAGAATGAGCACCCCGAAACTATAAACATCCGTCTTTTCCGTAGCTCGGCCCGTCTGCATGTAATCTGCAGAGAGGTACAGACGAGACATCAGAGGATAAAAATCACAAACTGGTAGGAAGAAAAGAGTCTCCTCCCTCTCCTTCTATGACTTCAAGGAGGAAACAAGACGGGATAAGGCTCTCAAAGATTATTCTATTCACGAAGGGACCCCAAGAAATAAACCCCAAATCTTCTCATTCAGATTCCGGAAAGCAAAAACCGTCAACGAATCGAACGAAAATAGAAAAGATTCTATAATCATGCGGTACACAGCAACGACCGGATTTGCCCAGAAATGTTCCAATATGATCCTATAGGACATAGGGCCGTAAGACATGGAGGATTCAGCCAGGGCCTGAGGAGAGTGGTGTGAGCCAGCCATGGAAAGATGCAAGAACCCAGAGACGAAGATAGAAACCGACGATGGGCCAGAGTCCCCAAGAACACACTACACAACAGAATAACATGAGACTTTGACCGTGTAGCAGGAAAATGGCCCTGCCCACACTGGCTGATCATCCATCCACTCTCCCCATCCAAGCATAAATAAAGTTCCTTTTTATCTCTACCCTTTTCGTATTCAGATGTAAGAAAAATAATTATACCTGGAGCAAGATAACCGAAAGTGCCGGCGACCCTCGTCGTGATGTGAGAATTCGAGTCTTCCAGCAATTTGGCGAGACCGAAATCAGAGACGCGGGCCTCCAAGTTGCCGTCCAGCAGGATGTTGCTTGATTTGATGTCACGATGTATGATGCGAGGGGAGCAGTCATGGTGCATGTACGCCAAGCCTTTTGCAGCCCCCATGATGATATTCACCCGAGCGTCCCAGTCCAAGTGATCGGACCTTCCTGCGAAGTGAAGGGAGCATCAACATAGGAACATCTCGGAAGACTTTTCCACTCAAAGCAGTGACGAAGAAAGGATAAACCCTACCCAAATGATCGATAGAAAGATGCACCATTATAATTGTATAATTGTATCTTGGGGGTTGGTGGGGTATCTCTGGGATGAGAAGCATGAATGAGAAGAAGAATTCCTCTCTGATCTTCCATCTCTCCCTTTCCTTCTTCTTCCTATCTCTTTCTTTCTTTTCCCTTTTTTCTTCCTAGCAATTTCCAGCATCCTCTTCACATTTTTTTTTTTTCTTTTCCAGGATCCCTCAGAATCACCGCATCTCTGGCCAGGGTCAGACCAATCGCTGTGCACCAATGAAATAACTCTACCGAATTAAAAAGTGCCACGGAAGAAAGATGGTTCTTGAACGATGCTGTAATGATTTCTGTCATCAGTTAGATTTTTGAGTTGCTCCCCAACAAACCGCAGGAAAAGGTGCCAATAGCATAAAGTCTTTTTAGATGAGCAGCAGCATTCCTTTTCAAGATTCCATATTTAATAAATATCTTTCTATGACTAAACAACGGATAAAAAAAGATATAAATAAAGGTAAATGCAAAGATCATCGTGCTCAGCAGTAGGATGGATCTTTTCCATTTTTACGTTGGCCCACATCTGCTTCGTAACGCATCAATTCAATAATACTGCGAGGAGATATCTCACCATGCAATGCCTCATCCAGACTCCCACCAGGGAGAAAATCATAGATTAGAACCTTGGAAGAAGGAGAGTTGCAATATCCCCGTAAATTGACCAGATACCGATGTTTGATGCTTCCAAGAATCTCAAGCTCCCTCTCGAAAAATCGATCCAAGTATTCATTCGTCTTCGCTATTTTTTTCAAAGCAAAAACGTTTCCATCGTCCATTGCAAGTTTGTACACTGTTCCAAAGCCACCGCAGCCAATAATGTTATCTTCATCTAAATATTCCAATTTCTTAAGGATATCATTGGATGCGTAGGGCAAATCTCCATGGAACATTACTATAGATGCACCTGAAGAAATAAATAGGAAGTTAAATACGACCCGCGCAAGCTCATAATACATGAAATATAATGTGTTATCATATATTAAGAAAGATAAAGAAAAAAAATAAAAGTAAAGAGAACATATATACCTTCACTGATATCCATCGCAAGGTTCTGGCCATCGTTTTTCCCAAATTTCTTGTAAAGGAAACAACCCCAGAAGCACATGAGCGCCACCAATAGCAAAGCACCAACTGTCGCAACCGCACTTATAAGTAGCCTTGTAGAGTACCTAGAAGACTTCCTTCTGGAGGCGCCACTGTCTGCAAAAATAGAGGGTATATCGAATGTGAGACATTTTTGGCAATAACCGTGTGTATATATGACTACATGTGACCAGGAACCCTGGACGACACAGACAACAGGGAACAACGAGCCCAGATGCTCGCAGAACCTATGAAACCGAAAATATATGACTGTCCAAGAGTACAGGTAACAAGTGAGTAAGGGGCAAATAACAACGGTAGAAATCGAGAAAATACCAGGGCAGTGAAGACAATCAGGCCGGTAAAACATGAAAAATATGGCATGCGTACAAAATAGAGGAAAGACCAACAGAAGAATTTGGAGGACGCACACATGATATCCATGAAATCTATGACAGAAAACAAGAATTTTCAGGGGAAGGCAGAAGATGAGAAAGCAAATTAAGGTGTCTGATATGTAGGCCACAATTGTTAACAACAAATTTCAACAGAACTAAGCCCCCTATGTCAAGTTATCATCTCTGTCGCTAAATTTCTAATAGGAATGCATCGAAGTATTCAACTTATCTACACTAAACCCCTTCTAAATTCTATCACACTTTCTCAACATGAAGCAATCCACTTAGAGGATATGGAAGCCTTTTATGCCGACTCATACAAATATCAACCGAATTTCCAATCAGCGTTGCTTTATTGAGTCTATGTTTTCCATCTCTTGTGCTGCATATATTTGGACCGCAGACATTAACAATCCTAATAACCCAAATACCAAAATTATCCACAAAAATAGTTGATTTAAGATAATTTTATCGAAATATGGACACAAAATAATGACTCGAGTGCTATTTTCTGACGGTCCATGTTAGAATATAGACCACCTCCCCTCACTATTGCCCTCACAAGAGAACCAGAAACAGAAAATGGACATTGGAGAACGAATGTCAGAGTCCCGGGCTTTCACTCGCAGATTGTCTAGGTGAAAATGCCAAATGTTACCCAAGCAGGCTAAATATGACTTTCATCTTCACTTTCTATGTTTTCAATCCATCCAAGTTCAAAGGAAAGCACAGAAAAAAAAAAAACAGATTACCTGAGCCGGGAGTGGGGGAAGTGCTGGATGGTCCACCCACAGAATCTTGGCATACCACATCAAGTTGCGCCCCACATAACAGACGATTCCCAACAAATCTGCACATATAGCCACGAAAAAGAATGTCATAAGATGAGATTGTGGCACACCAGCGAAGTTCTCTGATTCTTTAATGTTATCTCACTCCCGTGGGATTTTCTGCACGCTGCCTAATTAGGTATTCGTCATCTGCTCACAAGGTAACAGCTAGACTACAAGAAAATACAGTCAATTTTACTCTCCCGTTATCAAATACCACCTCCCACAGGGAACTTACGAGTCCTTGAAAAATTTGAGGAAAGAACCTTCAGATGGTATTCTCCCAGTGAGGAAATTTGTTGACGCATTGCTTCAAACGTAAGGAGAAATAAGTTAACTCCAGCTTCAGAGAAGAAAGTTTGGGAAACAGGATAGTATCCAAGAAGAACCTGTGGCACTTACAATGCTGAAAGTTTGGGCAAGTTAGCTAACGATGGAGGAATAGATCCACTTAAACTGTTGCTTGAAAGATCACTACAAAATAGTACACGAGACATAAAATAGAGCTATCATTAATACAAAATCTGATGAACAATACAATAGAGGTCAAGGACATAAATATGAAATTAGAAGTTTGTCATATCACAATGTTATCTGTACATCAATGAATTAGAAGCAGATAAGCCAGGATAATTCTAACAATTCACCATCAACAGGTAATCTTCAAGAAACTATTGAGGTACATTATCGTCTCATGAACATTATTCCCAAAAAACAAAAACATCAATAATCAGGATTTGAAGCATAGTAACGAGAATCTGTTACGAACCTCTTGAGATTTGGGCGAATCTTCACCCTAACCTTACCTTAAACGTGGCTCACTCAGGAAATCAACTCTCTGTTGTATAGAAGAACTAGAGTGAACAATTGAAAATGGAAATTGGAAAGACAATAGAGGTTCGCAGACAGTAGGGTGAGTTGCTGAGGTCGGATTGATCCTCAGGAGCAGGAGAGCCCGAATCGGACCTCCCCAGGGACAGATCTCCCTCTCCACCCTCTGTTTTCTCCTCCCCTTTCTTATTTCGGCCTCTTCTATATTTATAGGCCCCAGTACATTATTCTGTCGTGATCCCCCCTCAACGTGGGGGTCTAGGTCGTCTTGTGTAGACGACGGTTGGCTTCGTAACAGAATCTAATAGCTTGAAATATAACTACACTGATGCTAACAGGCTTTAAACCCGGAGTGATATAGTCGCAAGCATAAACTCAAGTATCAGAGTTGCATGACAGAGACTCTCTGATTACTAATACTAAAAAAGTTAAGGAAATCAAGCCCACTCAGCTACGTACAAGCAATTGTTTCATGTTTTAGTCCACAGATTAACCACCTGTAATTCATCCTGCAAGTGATTTTCATCTGAAATAACTAAATAATATGAGAAGAAAAACATAGGACATTTTCAATTCTCAGCCCCATGAACTGAGTTCACAGTTATTTTGGGCAGAGGAAACGGATTCGATCCTCCCCTACACCTTTTGCATTTGTCGCATATTTATACTCAGCATGCATAAATTCATAGTCCTTCTCAATGCCTTCATTAAATGTCTAGAAATTTTTCCAGAAATCTAGAAAAATAAAATATTTTTACAAACCTGTAGGACATCTGTTGTTTCAAACGATCTTTGTTTGCGATTTCCATGGCACTTTAAAGTGCTTCGGGTCATTTTCTTGTTTAATTCGCTTCACAGGCGAGTTGACTGAATTTTGTCGAATGTTATCAAACCAAGAGAAAAGAGAAGAACCACCTCCTTCACTTTTCTTAGAACTTCAGATCAATATGAGTAAGAACACCGCCAGTCAAGTAAATATCAGTTTAGAATTGGATGAATATGACGCTGATCTGATTCTTATTTTAAAATCGTAAATATTCCGTTTAGATGCCATGCATTTCCTTTTCTGATCGTAAATATGGCCTCACTAACACATCTATTACTTAAAATATCAAAAGGTAATCAATAAAAGCTCTGACACAATTAAGACCACAGTATGCATTTATAATTTGGAATGGCCAACATTCGTGATATCCAAGCAGGGCATTGGATAAAAGCTTACAGGGTTTCTAGCTCTGAGAGTTTGCCAAGTTCGGGAGGAATAGACCCACCAAAGAAGTTTCCCTGCAAGTATCTGAAAAAAAAGAAAATATCAATAGTAGCTAGTAGAATGAACTTGGAGGTACAGGAGAAATGACCTTTTGTCAAATCAATTTAAGGTATATTCGTTACCAAGCCTTACTTTGATAGAAAAGAGATGAGAAACATATTCAGACAGAATAAAAAACGTATCCCGTTCGTCTTGAGAAATGCATATCCCCTAAATGAACCTAAAGAAGGTAAATTTATAGCTTTTACCTCAACGCTGACTGTTTAGTTTTGAAAACTGTGGCCGTATATGTTGTATCAGATCTACATAGAGTGAACAAGATTCACCATAGGTTGAAGCTCGCAATAGCAGCTATTTCGGCTTCTGGTTTCCCGCTAAAGTTCGAAACAATTTAAACTAGTCCGATTATCGTCAATCCTCAGCTTAAAACATCTTACGAAGGGAAGATATGAATTTATTAAAGAAACGTAGCTGCAAGGACGTGCTCAAGGTTAGATCAGAGGGTCAGAGTCCTCTATAGTACCCGATAGTTTCTTATCTAGATTAATGAGATGATTGCTGGGAGGCAGAGGATGCAGGTCCAAGGTACAGGAAATATATTATTACTTAACTTCCTGAAATACGTTGCCATAATATAGTCTATGGTAGATAAACTTGATATAATTTGAAGTGTTCAACATTAAAACTAGTCTAATTTGAAATTAATGAACATGCTTAACCATGTTCAATGAGCATGCGAGTAAAGTCAAAAGTTTCTCATAAACTCATTAAAAATAAACGTGATAAAATAATTAAATATTTTCAGACGTTTCATCAAACCGAACGATGTAAAAACGTAGATATATACAGAAACAAATATGAAATGACCAGCATAAAAGTAGAATACATAGTCCGGTTACATCATTCAGGATGCATAACATTCAAACAAGTTACAGATATTGAATAAGAAAATTGTAGCATGCGGCCTCTGAAGAATAACATTACTAACTTACAAAAATTGTAACTCGGTGCAATTTCCAAGTTCTGAAGGGATGTTTCCATAGAAAGAGTTGTCATTAAGAGCTCTGCACAGTAAAAGCATAAAGCAGTTTCGGAATAAAATTCATCATAGTATCCGGTAAACAACGAAAAGCTTTGATGTGACGAGCGAAGTTCCTAAGATACGTACAAAAGCTTCAGGCTAGATAGCTTCCCAATCTCATTTGTTATTAATCCACTCAATCTGCCGGAAGGAAGGCTCCTGAAAACATCATCATTGAAGACGATTAATCAACCACATCAAGACTCGCAGACTACTAACGTATATTTACCAATAATAAGAACATTCATATGATCAGCATGAAATTCAAAAGCGAGGAAAAAATAATTATTTTCTTTGTAAATAACCGGTGAAGACCCCTTCAAGAAAGCATTATCAACTTGAAAGAGCATACTTTTTCAAAAAAATGAAATAAATAATTTGAACTGAAGAAGATAAGTTTATTAAAAATGTAGAACATATGAACACTAAAGCCCGGAGAATTCTAGATTCTTCCATTTCGCGTCTCCCTTTCTATTCTTTTCCAAGCGGATAGTGTTTTTATTTGCATTACTTCATGATTTTTTATATATTCCTATTACTTCATACTTCTTGAATCTTAACACTTCATAGGTTTCTGCTAAATGGCCTTTTAGTGTGCCATATCTGCTGCTGCGACACAAGAAAAAATAGAAAGTTTAGGAATTACATAGTTGATTTGGCATATGCCCCTCAAACCTCGTTCACAGTCGAGGTGCATGCTTGAATTGAATCGCACATATAAATTCATTTTAAAAGGATTAAAGCCCAATCAAGGTATATAAAGGAATAGGAATTTGTCAAAGTACAAAGGTCCATCAACAGCCAACAATACGTCGTAAAATAATCTGCCATCCAGTAAAAGAATAAGAAAAACATATCAAGATCAACTCAATAAATAAGCTAACTCACAAATAAGTAACTCTCTTGGTCTGAGGATCACATCTCACTCCTTTCCATTTACAAGGGTCCGCATCCTCTTGCCTCCATTGCAAAAACACACGATCTGGGTCAACAACTGCTGCCTTGAAACCGAGAAGGGTCTCGCCTACAAAAATAAGGGACTTCCTCGTTAAAATATCAGGCGGACAAGTAATCTTATCAGATTACGCCATAAAGATATTGCAGCTCACCATCCGGACTGATAGCATTACCACTCTGTACCACACAGTATACAATAAGAGTGGACATAAAACATAGCTTTTGACCTGTCACCATAATTGAGACTGCAAAAATGCTCCTCAGGCATGAGAAAATAATTATGCGATGCACATTGTGACATCTCGCCCAAGTTCAGAATCCAAACGCATTGTTCTTGCTTGGTGACACGGCAGGCAATGAGAAATGTTGCCTGAAAAAAGTGGCAAACTACTCACTCTTGTTACAGCGCACGGTAATATAGTGAAGTTAGGAGTAATTCAGTCCACAGAATAAAATCAAGAGCACATTTTTCCCATAGACATGCACAGAATTCCCTCATTTAAACTCTCTGAGTATCACATGACGACGAATTTTTTGAAATTATTCAAGATTATTTCTCGAAGATATATTGAACTCCCTGAAATCTTACGTTGTGATTAACAAAGAAAGCGTAAATGGAGAAGGAAGATATCCCTTTCCTCGCCTATATTCTTAGATTTGTTGGGTATGAATTACCCAGAATCATACTTCAAAAGCATTCCGAACTAAGGGGAATAAAATGGTTAAAAAGTGTATAATTTGTTGACAGTGGATACCTGCAACCCTCAGATCATCAACATGAAATTGGTCAGCCTCCCAAAAAAATTATTCCGTTTAAAAATTGGGGCTCTCCAGGGTAAAAATGAAAAATGAAATGAAGAGGTAATGTCTAACCGCAAAGATCGGAAAATAAACGATTATACTTTCGGTTTGAAATCATTTACTTAAATATGACATTTTCTCGTGGGTAACTGGCAATTCGATAGTTTACACCAACCCGTATGATGCGATGCAACACATCCACAAAGTAGCACTCGGTTAATATAACTGGACCCGTCCCCCGGCACGAAGAGGACGAAAAAGAACACCAAATCGTAGCTTAAGGACCAAACATCCTCCTCTCCGGCTACTGTGTGCCACCAGAGCGAGACGCACAAGGAACGGAACCAAAATCGATGAGCGTAAACTCCGATCGAATAGAGATAAGAGCCTAAACCTCCACAGCACAGCAAATTGCAACAATGTACGAGCGACGACGCACCTCAAGCCTCGCCGATCAACCTCAGCCCAAGAAAGAAGCAACTAGATTGGCACTGGGGAGAAGGGGAAAGAAAACAGCAAGAAGAAGGGTGGGTCTGATCTGCGACGAATCTTGCGAATCGGGCAATGCGGATGAGGCGGAGGGGAGTGAAGCGGAGGAGAATGAAGGCGAAGGGCGGATGGAGTCTTGAAGTGTGAGCAGGAGAGAGAGAGAGAGAGAGAGAGAGAGGAGTGGTAGAGAGCAGTGTGTGTGTGTGGGCATAGGAGAGAGAGTGATGGGCGATAGATTTCCACGGCGAGCGTGCGAACCCAAGGGACGCATGGGTTCGCACGTGCCGTCGACTCGACTCCAAAGGCCACCTTGACCAGCAAGAGGAGCCGGCGACAAACCCACCTCACCCCGCCGACGCGGGCCCTGGTACGTAGCGCAGCTCTCCGCTCGGAGTACGCTTGCAGGACGAGCCACGGGACCGCCCGATTCCACCCCGACCCGCTAAAATCTCCCCTGAGAGAGGGTCTTCGCTCCGATCCCAGTCCGAGTCGCGATCCCCCAATCCACATCCTTCGCCCCCCGGGCGACTCCGCCTCGCACCTCGTGCACGTGCAAGCCTTCGCACGCGCCAAAGCCCCTGTCGTACCACCACCGAACGGCCTGCCGAAACGACGGCCAGGATTCGGCACGTAGGCCCCACAGTGGTTGGGCCCCAGCCCTTTGACGTGACACGGAGGGAGAGAGAAAGAGAAAGGAGCTCAAGCATTGACCCGCCATGAATGTAGCAGTAAAATCCGTTGATAAACACCGGCGCCCGAGTGCCCAGAAACCACTTCCATCCATATACACACTCGGGAAACACACAGAGCTTACTATCCTCGCGAGGATGTAGCCGGTGGCATCGCGGGGGGCAGGCCGCCGCCGGGCTCGATCACCCTGTTGGCAGGAGCTCTGTCGCGACGCTCGGCGTAGGCCGCCGGGAACCAGCCGGCCTTCCCCTTGCATTCGCCCTCCAACCATCCGTTCTCCGAGCCCTGCCGACCCGGAAAGGAAACATGAAATACGTCCGAATCACGATGACCCAAGTCTCATGGTTTTGTTGCCCGCTCTTCCTTCCATCTTCGGATCTGGGTTTCTTCTACTGGACATTTTCAAGGTTGGGATCGCTCTTGATGATGCCAGGGCCAGTTCTAGATGATACAAGATGGGATTCCTTTTCTTCTCTCTGTTTTTTTTTTTTTCCTTCTTCTTCTTCACAGGAGGATGCGAGGAATTTATTAAGGATCATGCCAGGAAATTCAATTCTAGGAGGTGTGGAGGTACCTGACGGACGACAACGTAGTCGCCGGTGGAAAGACTCAGCTCGCCATCAGCCTGAGCATCGAAGGGATGAATAACCTGGATAAGAAGCGGTCGACGAGCGCAGAAGAATTTAGCAAGGGGTCAACGCTCATCTCAATCTATGATGATATAATGCTCAATTAATGGAAAAGAAATCAGTATAATGCGCGAAGACGAATTATGTTTTAATCAACAAAATTGGGTTTTTTTTCTCCAAAGTTTCCCTCCGGGCTGGACACATTCTGAGCAGCAGGTCAGCGCAGTGGAATAAATGGGGGACACTCACACTCACACAAGTCCTAATGAATGCAGGTTCCCATGCGCATTTTATAAGCATATTTATTTTGCATATAAATCTCAGTTTCCAGGATACGATACCTCTGCAATAAAATATTCAGTGTTTTGATCTGCTGGTTCGGGACAACCAGATTGGTGCAGTTCAATTTGCTCATCTGTGGCTTCTTCAGATCGGATACCATTAATTGAACCTCTGAGATAATTACGAGACTGGTTCGGTTCGATTTCCTCATTCTTCGCTTCTGCTTGGATTCCAGTGTCATGATCTCCTTGGAGATCACCAGACTGATGTGGTTCCGTTTCTTGACTTGTTGTCTGAGCCCGGATGCCATCCGCATGATCTCCTCGGAGATTATTAGACGGGTTTAGTTCAGTTTTGCTGTTTCTTTCTCGAGCATGAACACCATTCGTATGATTTTCATGGAGATCATCAGACTGCAGCTTCTCTTCTTCTTCGTGTTCTTCCTCGCATGCTGCCAGAGCAAGAATGCCTCCCACAGTAGACGCCGGCTGTCTCTCCGATTCACTCTTCTGTCTCTCCAGGACCATCTATCACGGAATCAGGGTTAAATAATTACTTGGCAGCAGAGAAGGAAGAATTTTTTCGCTTTCTGGATACAATCAATGCGCGAGATGGTCAAAGAGCCTCTTTTTTTTTCTTTTTTTTTTTTTTTTTTTTCTGGGTGGATGAAAGAGGTACCGCATCACGAAGTTCGTCTAAGATGGAAGCAACATTGTGATGATAACCTCTCTCCGCATCGACCTGAAAGGGAGATGCAGCGCTTTGTAAGAAGAAAACTTCGTTCTTCCAGACCAAATAATTTCAGAAGAAAAAAAAATTAAAAAAAAAAAGGGAATACCATTGCAAGGAGTTGTTGGAAGGTGATTCTCTGTTGATCAGCTGCAACCGACTCCATGGCTGAAGTAGCTTCTCTTCCGAGCGCTGCTAAAGCGGACCCAAGTTCAGACAGTCTCAGTTCTGAATGCTGAAGCTTCAGGGGAGTTTCAGGAGCGCCGCCCGCTTCCTTTGACTTTAGCTGCCGTCTCGCAACATCAACTGCCTGGTAGGAGGTCAGGTGCTCCTCTTCACCGAAGTTCACCCAAACACAAAACGCGAGAAGAATGACTGCACAAGACCTGAGATTCTACGTCTTGTCTGAGCTTCTCGTAACAGTGAGCCAAGTGCCGCGCGTCCTCCAATGGAGCTCCCATGATCATGGTCCGCAGCGGCTCATACACCTGCGCAGGTATCGGGGAAACAATGGATACAACATTAATATCCTCTTAAGTCTTGAGATGATGGTAGCACAGGTCAGATCAGGCAGGCGAGACGCGAACGAATATTCTGGCCCGTTGACCTTGGGGTGAAGTCATGGGATCTAACCCGTACTGGTCAGGTCGCTATGCCACGAGGATGAACAGGACGGGCAGCAGAAGAGAGAATGCCAAGAGATTGAAATGATATCAAAAATGGCAAGTACGGATGATTGGATCACAACGAAAATAAAAACGCAAAGGGTTTGACTTAGATGGCACATGACACTGTAGGGATCATCAGAAAACCTGATTATACAAATAAAAAGACACCAAAAAATAAAATTATATATATATATATGGGCAACAGTTGGGTACGCTTCAGCCGGCACATGTCATTGGACGAAAAATCTCACACAAGATGCTTTCATGCATGACCCGCTGATGGAGAAATTATAAAATATCATATGCTCCAATGTGCTGCTTCTGTTCATGTGATAGATACAATGCATCCCCCCCCCTTCTTTATTTTTTGGTTGGCACAGTGTTTGAAGGGGGAGATAAATATGGATTACAGGACCATGCAGAAACTAAAACAGAGAGTGTATATTCACCTGGTCTCCAAGAATTTTAAGTAATTTTTCCCTCTCCTCTTCCATCGAATGGTGCGAATTACCAAAATGAAGTGAAGCCCTAGCGAGAACAGCATCAGAGTTTTCATTCTCTCCATATTTGCAGCAGGCATCAGCTAACTTGGATGCTAAGCACAAAGGTAGTCCAAGATCACTGCACTGTCTTCTTTGCGGCAAGATCATTCGGTAGTGAAAAGAATACTTACCAATCTCTATCTGCCTTGAACTGGCTGAAATGAGACCTTCCAATCCCCGCATGATATTTCTCTGAAAATGCTGCTAGATAAAAGATGGAAGCCCAAAATTAGCAGAGTATGGCTCCTCAAGTGACCCTCTCTGAAAGCATACCCTGCAACCCTTTGAATCCATGAATCCAAGTAACCTGAATGAACCCTAATCGAATAAACACAAAGACCAGAAGATTTATAAAGCACCTTTGCCTCCCTTGTGGATTTATAAAGCATCTGGAGTTGTTGGTGACACTCTGCATCCGGTTCATCCAGAGCCAGGGCATCGATGGCAAAACGCCCACTAAGTTGCTTCAGAACTGCCTGCTCAGATATCAAAGGCCACAGGTCGAGTCATGAACATTCTTTTCAGTCTCCACTGGTCATCACAATCTCACAATCCTTCTCCCCGTTTTATTGGAATGGTTCAGTAGTTTTATACCCCCCTCCCATGGCCTTCTTCATTGTCCCCGGGCACATCCAAGCAAGCAGCGATCTTGACATGTACCCAGAACAGATTTAAGGCCGAGCCTACATTTCCCAGCAGGCTCAGGAAGATACAGAGAGCAAAAATACTGCGATAAATCGGAACACACGCTTGCACCCCGTCGTCAGGTGGAAAACTGGCGAAGAGAAGGTTGCAGGAAGAGCCCGGCAGGCAGAATGAGTGAGAAGAATTCAGGCCCAATGCAACTCCGCGCAGAAAAAGAGAACGAGGAGAAGAAAGGCAGAAGCGAGAGGACCGGAGGAAGAAAATAACGCCACCTGCTGCTGCTTGGCGACCTGCTCCCTTAGCCTGCTGGCCTGTCTCTTTATCGCCTCCATTCCGATCGACCACCCGGGCAGAAGGAAAGAAAAAAGAAAGAAAGAAGAAAAGACCTCTGTCGTTCAAACCATCACCGCCGACTTCACTGAACGCCTAGTTCCGGGATTAGACGCGGACGCGGAGAAGATGGCAACAATGGAGGGGAAACTCCCTCCCGCGATCTCAGATCACGGAGAACCTCCCTCGATCGAGTAAGAGTCGAGGCGACGGAGAGAATAATGGCGCCAGTGGTTGCCTCCGGCCGCTGCGCCACGCGTGCAACGACGATACCATTCCCGTCGCCGAAGGATGTCCCCATCCCCCTGGTACGAGTGGAACAGGGGACCTACTCCCCGTAGAACCGACGGTCGCGGCCCCACTGCTCATTCCCCGATTGTCCCCCCGGCCCCATCCGGCGCGGTGTGCGGTGGCTGCCACTGCCGTGGTCTGGTCCTCCGCCGCCATCTACCGACAGATTACCCAATCCGCAAATCGCCGCGCTGGGAGAGCGCGTAATCTCACGGGCCCGGAAAGGCCCCACTTGTTGACCGGTATGTTTAGAACAAGGAGGTCATCGGTGGGTCCCACGTAGACGTGTCTCTCTCTGTCTTGCTGGAGTCTTCCCTCGGGACCCACATTATGTTAACTTGGCTTCCACTTCCGCACGAGGACAATAAGAAGCGCCAAATCCGTCTACGTGTCTCGCATGGGCTGTTGATGCCCTTCGCCGAAAGCATCACCCCTGTCTGTCTGTCTGTCTTCTCTCTCACTCTCTCTCTCTCTCTCTCTCTCTCTCTCGCTCTCTCTCTTTCTCCTCTCTTTCTCGCTCCACTCGTCTCACCGCCGCCAGCCTTGAAACCCGAAGCCCGGTCGGTAAGGTGAAGCTCCCACGCTCCACGGAAGGAGTTATGCACAGATGTCGGCAACTGGTCCTTCTCCTCGTTCTCAGACCCCCGGCGTCTGAGCTATGCACAGGCATTCGACTTCCCGGCTCAAGAACCTCCCCGCCCTCCTCCTTTTCCCCGGCGGCGAGGCCGCAGCGCCCGTCTCGTCGTGCCGATGCTTCTCCGGCGGACTTTTGGACGTGTTCCGGTGGAACTCCGGCATCACCGGAGCTTTTCTGAACGGCGACGTCGAGGGGGCCCGTCGGCTCTTCGAGGCGATGCCACACAGGAACGCAGTCACCTGGAACTGCATGATCTCCGGGTACGCCCGCAGCCGCAGGCCAGCTGACGCGCAGAAGTTGTTCGATCAAATGCCCGAGAGAAATGTCGTCTCCTGGACCGCGCTACTGACGGCCTACGCCAAGTGCGGCATGCTGAAGAAGGCCCGGGAGATTTTCGACGCTACGCCGCACAGAAACGTCGTCTGCTGGAATGCCATGATCACCGCGTACGTCGACGGCGGGAAGATCAGGGACGCAAGGGAGCTGTTCGACGAAATGCCCGCGAGGAACACCACCTCGTGGGTGGTCATGATATCCGGGTATCTCCATCGCAAGGTCGTCTCAGAGGCGCGGCTCCTCTTTGACCAGGCGCCCGTTCTCGCGACCTCCCTGTACAACGCGCTGATCTCCGGGTACGTAGAGCTGGGCCGCATCAAGGATGCGGAAGAGGTGTTCGCTAAAATGCCCAACCCAGATGTCGTCTCCTGGAACATCATGATCACATGCCACGCCCGAGCCGGGAGGATGGGCCGCGCCAAGGCTCTGTTCGACAGGATGCCGCACAAGGACACCGTCTCATGGACGTCCCTCGCACGCGGGTATTTGCAGAACGGAAGCATCGAGCTCGCCCGCAGGGCGTTCGACGAAATGCCCGGCCGAGACGCCGTGGCCTGGAACACCATGATCGCAGGGTATGTCCATGCTGGCATGCTGGCGCAGGCGCTGGGCCTGTTCGGGAAAATGCCCCGCCGAGACGTGGTCTCCTGGAACTCGATACTCCAGGGCTACGTTCGCGGGGGGGACATGGCCGCGGCGAGGGCCTGGTTCAGGGGAATGCCCCAGCGTAGCGAGACTTCCTGGAACACGCTGATATCTGGGCACCGCGACGAGCAGGCACTGGTCTTATTGTCGAGCATGATGAGGGAGGGGTTCAAGCCGGATCAGGGGACCTACACGGTCGCCATCTCGGTCTGCGGCGCCCTCGTGGCGGCCGGATGGGGGAGGATGCTGCACCTCGGCGTGATCAGCCGTGGGCTCGGGCGCGACACCCTGGTTGCTAGCTCCCTTATGACGATGTACTCCAAATGCGGGCTGCTGACGGACGCCGTGCGTGTGTTCGGCAAAATGCCCAAGAGAGACACCATCGCATGGAACGCCCTGATAGGGGCGTACGCCCACCACGGGCAGGCCGCTGAGGCCCTGCGGTCCTTCGACGTCATGCTAGAGAAGAAGGCGGACCCCGACCACGTGACGTTCCTCTGCGTGCTCTCGGCTTGTGTCCACAGGGGGCTGGTGGAGGAAGGGAGGCGGGTCCTTGAGTCGATGCATAAAGATTGGAACTTGGCCCCAAGATCGGACCATTACTCCTGCGTCGTAGACCTTCTCGGGCGATCTGGTTCGGTCCGTGAAGCCCAAAAGCTGATCGAGAGAATGCCCGACGGCCTGAAGATGAACTCCTGGGAGACCCTACTGAGCTCCTGCCTCGTGCACGGTAACAGCGGCGTTGGAGGCCTCGCGGCGGAGAAGGTTCTCAGCTCCGAGCCGCAGGACGGGGGAGTCCTCGTTCTGGTGTCTAACTTCTACGCCGCCGAGGGGTTGTGGCGAGACGCGGCCCGCCTTCGGCAGTCGATGAAGGGCCGCCAGGGAAATAAGGAGACTGGTTGCAGTTGGATCGAGATCAAGGGGGCCATGCATGGGTTTGTATCCCGCGACAGGTCTCATCCTCGGACGGAGGAGATATACAGAGAGCTGGACAGCATTTCTGCCCAGATCCAAAGATGAATCTGGGCACAGCATCTTCTTCCTCGGTTCTTTTTTTGGTTTATTCGTAATCAGACAAACGAGGTGATTGCCCCCGTCTTGTCAACTTGGCTGGGTTTTCGGTGCCCGTCAAAGTTTCGGCAAATTTCCAACATAATAGTTTGTGATATCAGTATCAATCACGAATGAATAATTGACAAGAATAATACATAATATGGATATAAATCATATCACTGTAATGTCTCCATAACCGGGAAAGACCCATTTCCACATGAGCTATTTATCTATCTATCCATCTATCTATCTATCTATCTATCTATCTATCTATCCATCTGTTTATATCCATCAATGATTCCCAAGATTTCAGAAGAAGGACGTCAATATAAATGCAGGGTGAGCTTCGGTGTTAGCGATCTACCTGTGCCAAGGAGAAACGGAGGGTGGAAGAGGAAAGCATCTGGTGCTAGCTTCACAGGCCATCGTGGATGAGCTTGTTCAGGAGGGTCGTCAGGAGGGCTTCCCTCTTCTCGGCTCGAGCTTCCTCCCTCATCCTCCTCTGCTCCTCCCGCTCCCGCCAGGACTGCTCCATCATCAGCCTCTCCCTCTCGAGCTTCTCCATCGACTGTCTCCACTCCTGCTCAAACAACCTCCTCTCCTGGGTCCTCCTCTCCATCATCTCCTGCCACTGCGCCTCCATGCGCTGCTGCTGCTGGATGAACTCCAGCAGCAGCTCGTGGATGTTTCCCGTTGACTTCGACTTGTCCCCCGGTCGTTGTGGCTGACCTCGATCGGATCTCTTCTTCTTGCCCTTTGAGGTGTGATCCTCTTCGCTGTCATCGTCATCTTCCGCGTCATCATCGGAGAGGTCTTCGGAGGATCTGTCACCACTGGGCCTCTTCAGCTTCTTCTTTCCCTGAGGACCACCGGATTCAGACTCGAGGAGGTGCCGCTGCATGTTCTTGGCTCTCTCGGCGAATACTGCATGCAGCTCGTCGAAGAAAGGGCATTGTCTGCCATGCTCTGGATCGGATGTCTCCTTACCCTGTAGGGAAAGAACAAAGGTTTCCAATATTAGATTATCTCAAAAGTATTTCGAAATGCTCAATGAATTTAACCAAAGGAAAGAAACATTAGATGCACGTTGACCAGGTTTCCAATCTACCAATGCATAATAATAAGTTGCTAAAACCATTACAAGAAAATGTGGACGCAGATAAAATGGGAAGTAGCAAAGAAGAAATGTTAAAGAAGATTTTTCTTCTTTGTTTGAGGGTTGAGGAGGGGGCGAGAATAGCTGCAGATCAACTCCGGAAGGCCAGTTTTGTTCTTTTCATAGAAGGAGCTCTACTTCTGTTCCCTATTGAGTTCAACAGCATGGAATCCAACAGCGGAAATTACTGCCCAAATCGGGTATTTTTGTACATACACGTCATCCAGGTAACAAAGAGAAGGCTACGAAATCCCTTTTTCCTCCACTATCAAACCCCCCAGCCTGAAATAAATAGACCACCCCTTCTGATTCACTAACGGGAAGATCCTCATTCATCTGTTCACTCTGAACACCATCTGCCAGAAGCACTGAAACCTGGTCAGCTCCATCTTAATAAAATCCACCTTTTCCGCCCAGCACACAAGAGCCATCGAACTTGGCTCGGCTAAATGATCCCCTTCCCCAAACCACCTGATCAATAAAAAGAAGACTCATATTTCCCTGCTCTTTAAATTTTCAGTCCCCCAGATTGAACAAATCCCTCCATTCGGTAAAATATTTCCAGAGGAAACATGCTGATGCTCCCAAGGCCGAGCTAAGTCTTGTTGTCTTTCATAAGAGGACCGTATCAGAGATATAGCCCATACAAACTCAGACAAAATCAATGTGAATATCGTTGAAACAGAGCATTCAAAGATGCCTAGGAAAGAATTGGATTGTCCAACTAAAAACAATTTGCAGCAAAGTGAACAAAGTAGTCATAAAAATATCTTAATTCAAACAGAGCATTCAAAGAAGCTCTGCTTGGATCATCCATACAGAGCATTCAATCATGTCATACAGTTGTCTCATCCAACGAGAGGCCATAGAAACAGGCCATCCTCATGTGCAGACCACCATTGTAGACGATGACGCATGAACACCATGAACAAAGTCGAGAGCTTAGGATACAAAGAGAAACAATTGGATCGACCTAAAATATAATCAGCAGGCAACGAATGGAGAAAGCGCATTTGGGCAAGTACATGATTTATTCCGCCATCTACAGTCCGAGCAAATCTATCCTCAATAGGACCATGACAAGCGGCTCTCTCGCTCGCAAAAACCGAGTCAGTTCACCGGAATGAAGGACAGAAGGAGACGATAAATGGAATCGTGGAAAGGGACAGTCGACCTTGTAGCGGTTGACGAGGTTCTTCCATTTGCACTTGCATTGCTCAGGAGTGCGCCGGTAACCCCGCTCCCGCATCCGAGCCGCCACGGCCTCCCACAGCGTTTTGTTCCGCTTCGAGACCGTCGAGTCCCGCTCCAAAGCGGCACGGATCGCTATAAGATCCCTCGTCTCCTGATGGCCCCACTGCGGGTTTCCCACGCCGCCCATCGCCATTCCCCCCATCCCTTTGCCACTCGTCTCCTCCCCCTTCCTCTGCTGTGCCTGCAGCCCTATCCCACCAACCCCGATCCCTGGCATGTCGCCTCCCAGCTGGAGAGGCAAGGACACCATCATCCGGCCCAACCCCTCGCTATCTCCTCCCCCCCCGCCACGTCCAAGGATCATCTTCCCGAAATCCAGCGCAACAACCTAACTTTCCCCCCAAATCTAGGGTTCTGTGCTCCCCTACGATCGTCTTCGACGGAGTATGGAACACCACCCTTCTAGGTTTCCCCCCTCCCGAAGGCAGCGCGTTTCCTCTATCTCTCTCTAGACTTCCGTGCTGCAGAACATCAGGACGTTGGTTTGCAGGTGTGACTCAAAGACTCGCACCTATGTAGGCGTGTTATTATATATAACACCCCAAGAATTAAATAAAGAATTAATTATCCCTATACCATGAACAATTGTATAAGTACTCAACCCACCCCACCGATACACCCATTCTGTCGTCCCCGTCGGCGGCGGCGGCTCCGCGCTCCTCATTACTCGTCCATAAACTGAATTACGAATTTAGAATGGCAAATTTTCACATTCATGTGTCCGCGTTGACTGTGCTTAATTTTTATGCCACGTGGCTTGTCCGAAGGAGGCAGAACAAGGAGCTAGAAAATTTTATCTACTTCCCCACCCCCGGGAATTCAAAGGATCCTAGAAACTGGGTAATAGTCCAAATTACAGTTTTACCATCTGGAGATAGAGAGAGAAACAGCTTTGAACATACGACGACCCAGCCGGATGGAAGAAAGCCTACCAATCTTCTTCGGAATGAGAGACAGAGAGAGAGAGAGAAGGAGCTTTGGACATGCGATGACCCCAGCCGGAGGGAAGAAAGTATTTATTTATGGAAAAATGGTTGACTTTCGATTAACCTAGAATGGTCAACGACCATCCACTTGCGTGACCCCCTACAATGGTCGTGTCCCGTGCTGTCAACGGGCGGCTTGGCCAAACCCAGGCAAGCCCATCTAGGTCTCCCTGTGCTTCTCGCTCTTTCTACACGACAGCTACTCGCAAACTTCAGACATCTTGCGGAAAACGGGCCATCGGGCCCATCCCGAAAAGGACCCGGCCCGTTGACCGAAGGCGCCAGATTCGTCTGAGGCGGGATTAATCCTCGACGACTGGTCAACTGTCTCCGCCATGTGCCTCCTTGAAAGGGTACATCCACAAATAATAATAATAAGAATGAAAACAACAACCAAGAGAAGTGTGAATGCGGCTTGGCCCGCCCGAAGGTGGGAACTGGTGGAGCCGCCTTCGACCGATCCGTGTGAACTGTCAGCCTTTGACCGCGCAGGTATGAACCCTGGATTCCAGTTGTCAAAGGCCCAGCCGAATCCTGTCATCCAGCTAATCAAAGAAACTGGGCCCCAAAAGTTCCACCGCCTCACCTCATTACCTCCGTGATGTTCCGGCTGAGTCAGAGTTGATGGAGCTCGTGGAGCCCAATCCCCTCGCAAGCTGACTTCGAGAAAGCATCCAGATCTTGACTTTCTGGGTGTAATCCGCTGACATTTTCAGATTCGTGGGACGTCCACTGGAATTAATAGGAGATATTTCTGGTTGACTTATGACGATTATCCCTTCCCTTCCCTTCCCTTTTCCTTTTTTCGTTACATGTTGATCCCAAACGTTACCCAGAAGATCCTCAACCCGTCCGTATTATATATTATTTGAGCTCCGCTATTACCTTAGTAGTTGGTGTACATAATGACACCTTCTAGAATTGGCATCTCCAGTTGACTTTTAGATTACTGCTGATCTTGGTGGCTAGAACTCAAGAAGCTTCCGACTAATCTCTTATAAACTATTGGGTCTAAGAGGCCACTTAGTAAACCCACAACATAATTACGATAAATATAATAACGTGACCTGTCCTTTCTGATGCTTCTTGAGATCTTCTACGAGCTGTTACGTTGTAGAAGCTTCATCGTTGGCACTTGAGAATTTACTTCTCACTTACAAAACTCCCTATCCTTGTTGACTGACTTGGGCAGCGATACCACGCTATGGATTGATGCGTTTTTCTCTTTGTTTACTAAACACTGGATGGAACCATCGATTTCTTTTCTGCTGTCGGGAGCATGGTGAGGAGCCGTCGATTTCTTTTCAGCTGGCCCGATTACGACGTGGGAACGTTGACCGAGTTGACGGCGGCTTGAAGTTCTGGTGAAAACAATGATCAATTTGATACTGGCTCGATATGAAGATGAGATTGTCCGTCGTTATGATACAGGCGCGATCTTCGTGCGAAGACGAGGTTGTAGCAGGTCGAGACGTGGAGGAGAGACGACGTCGTTTGACCCACACTCCAGCTGAAGGGAGACGACTCAGAACGATTTGATGTCAGCTTGACTGGTTTCGCTGTACGCGTGATCTATAGACGAATGCGAGAAAGCTTTTTTTGCAGCACTTACCGTGAAGGAGATGAATACTCTCTCTCTCTCTCTCTCTCTCTCTCTCTCTCTCTCTCTCTCTCTCTCTCTCTCTCTTCTATGCTGGAACGATCTGCAGCATCAACATCTCTTCCTCCCGCTTCTCCTCGTTAAAAAAAAACACACACACACACACACACACACACACACAAGAGATTAGAAGATGAATATCTCTTCCTTCCCTTTTGAATCAACAGCGACGCGGTGGATCCGCGCATTTCCAACCCTTTTTTGTTTCATTCGCGATCAGCCGTGGATTAAAATCTCACAGAGAGATATCGTTAAAAGATTTTAGAGTTTTAGGGCGAGACCACCCTGTTTATTTATTCTCCTATAAATGGGCCAAGAATGGGCCAAATATGAAACGGCGGGCCAGATACCACTTAACTCAACCCGACAATAGATTTGGATTCAAGCCCAAAGAAAATCTATTTCCTCATCCCTTGGTCCTGAAATAAATCGAAATAACTTTCACACATGCATTTTCACATTCATGGTCATCAAACAAACATGTAAGTCATCATGTATCCCCATGTCCTATGACCCCGATCCCTTCCGTTCATATTCGAGGCATTGCCCCCCTTGGATTATCAGCCTCTGATTCTCGTCCCTCTAATGCCCACGACCTGATAACCTCAATCTTTAGTTGTCATCTGAAAGGGAATAGCGAACGCATCCCCTTTGTTTCTCCAAAGTTGTAGGAGACCACTTCACTAAATGTGGATAAGTAGCCTACGCTCTCTTACATTTTGAAATTTATTATTTATTCCGTTTTACCTTTGTACATGAGGGGCGTTAGAAATAACATTTTTTAAATATGGAATGAAATTCACAATGGGACAGCAGAACAATGATCCATATTTATGAGGGAAGATAATAATCTCAAACATTGTTGAAACATTTCCATAAAATCTCAAAAAAATGGTCATTATAGAACACCACATCATTTTCACATCTACATTAGACATCAACGCTAAGGGTGGTCTTGAAAAAGTAGTATTGATATCACCTATGCCCAATTATTTGTTAGCAACACTAAGGGTTGGGAATTCAGGCTGAATATTGTTGCCATAACACTTAATTGATGTAAGTAGATTTGTCTCAACTTGGTAATGACGGTAGTACATGTGAATATGATTTTTTTTCCATTACAACAATCATCAAATTGATTCCCTCTCACCAAATGAAGGTGCCCATTCGCTCAACTCTATAAGATATTGTTAGGTGATTCCATATGATATTGATTGTGTATAATTAAATCAAAGATGAGATGATCCACAAAAGTACTGCAAGACTACATGGGAAAGATGATATTGACTCCAAATCACACAAATATCTAGCCATCCTTATTCAAAATCATCTACAAATATTAGCAAAGATGGTACAAATGGTCAAGTGAGTCATACATAAGATGAAGTGACACATGTTATGTCAACTAAGGAGATATTACAAAATTTATGTGCCACGAGGTGATTGTTTGTCACGATAGGAGATATCATGAAAGGGAGGATACTATTGGGCCACTAAAAAGAGAACAAGTTCTCGAATGAAGAATGAGGCTATGGCAGAATCGAATAGAGTGCATGAGGAATATGTGACTTTAGCAAAAGATTTGATGTGGTGAAAACATGGCTCAAGAGAGGGGTCTAGTAGCTCTCTGGGTTCCATGAGTAAAAGCTAGTGTATGTCTAAGAAAAAGAAGGAATAAAGGAGAGGAGGGAAAGAAAAATATATCTCTAAGATTCTTTGTGAATGAAGAGAGCCAATGGTTCAATGTTGACACGTCCATTCCTCAATTGAAGCTCATATAAGAAAGAAGAAAAAATAAGAACTGATGCATGGTATCAAGATGGGTTTCATTAAATTCCGAGAGAGGGAGTGGGGTGACTTGACTCTTTAAATATTTTCCTACCTTATGACGTTTTTATTTATTATCTACTAATTGGGTCAGAATAGATTGAGTTGGATTAACATTGATTTATTTGACTAGATCAAGTTGACAAATTCAGGTGACACATCGAACAAGAAACATAAATGAATATAGGGATTTATAGTTAGTCAAATTTCCCTTGCCTACTTCCATATGATTTTTCCCTTCGTTTTCACTATTATCTCTTAAATAACTAAAATTTAAATTGACATGATGAGAAATCTCACTGCATAATAACTAACTATAAACATCTTAGGCAAGGTACCTTTTCCTCCATTGTCATCAATACTCCCTAAAGCTACACATAAAAATAGCATTATGAAACTGAAATTTTGATTTTAAATTTGAGAGGATAAATTTTCTTGATTTGCAGGATATTTTAATGCTTAAAAGAAGATGTGGCGAGGTTGTACTTGTAGGAAAAAATAGATGCAAAGATCAGTGACGAATTAATTGATTCAGAAGGTTGCAGCTGTGTCATAGGGGCATGATTTGAAATCTCTTGAAATTATCTTTTCATAGAGCCCAACAACTTGATTGTTGAAATTCAAATAGTATTTAGGCCAATCACAATGTATATTTGCAAAGTCATTTGGGTAGTCAAATTGTCAATTTGACTTGTTTTTTACCAAGTTACTATTTAGGTGTTAGCAATAGATTTTTTAAATATT